TTTGAGGCCAGCAAACATCTCACAAACTATGTCTGATGGCTTGTACCATAGTTTGCTCTGTTTTCTCCATTAAAATTTCCTTTAAAGTCTCGTTCAGTTTAATGTAATGTCTCAGAGTTAATGTGATCGTAGATTGTATGGGTTACATCTCATTGTTTTTAAGATTACATTGTCCAGAATGGAATTTTTCAAAATTATAATTTAATTAATCACAAACAAAGTCACAGACATTCCTGACTGAATGTAAACAGTCACCCCCTCATTTTTATAACAAATGCCTCTATATTACTGATGTCATTGTGTCTTTAAACAGGGTGAATGGTTCTGATGGCAAAAGACTTCATTTCTGGGTACGTTTAGTCTTTTTTTGCATGCAATTATCTATTATAGATAAATGTCTGTTTCATGGGAAGTCACTGGACAGTGTAAATCAAACCAGTGAGACAATCAATTGTAATAAAGTTAAATATTATATGTATGTATTGCTCACTGAGCTGCAGAGACACTAACGTTTTCAAACTGTTTCACAGATGTTACATTGTGTTGCATGAAAAAGTCTTGCAATGGTCATAGTCTCTTAACCATTAACATTGTGAAAATATGAACCATGTGCCTTTTGTGGGGATTCTACAAATCTTTTGTACTATTTTTGCCTCTGTCACCTTCTGCACTGTAAAAAAAACAATGTCGTTTCGTTTCAACTCAAAAAGTAAGTGTTCATGCTGCCTTCAAATTTTAGCTTTAGTCAACTCAAATATCCAAGTTGTCACATAGTACAACTTCACATTTCAAGTTGACTAAATCTAAAGTTTTATGGCAGCACTTACTTTTTAAGTTGAAACACCAATTTTATTTCCAGTGTGTGTTGGTTATGTCTTGTGTGATCAAGTTTGTGTGTTATACTGCTGTTAATAATGTCACAAGAGCTCATCTTAGCATTGTTCACGTATTTGCATCCAATACAGTATGTTTAACCTGACCGCACATTGGCAGCTTGCGCCTGTGGTCATATACAGTATGTGTGTGTAAAATATGTTTTCTCATTCACACAGACACCTCAGTGAGCAATCTACATATATCGACTTAAGTCTCCTGTCAAAAAAGAAGGGGAAAAACATCCTGCTTTGGCCTCAGTTGGTGAGATGTTTATTAATGGAAAATGTAATTAACACGCACAAGAATGCCAAATGTGGGAGTGCAGACTGTGACAAATAAAGCATGAGATCTTCATCTTCTGGTATAATGAGCGCAGCACAAAATAATGGCTATGTAAACACGCTGGAACCAGTGGAGGATGTTCCCTGATGCCTCCTCACAAGAGTGTGACAATATTGGAAAGAGTAGCAAGCATTGTCTGACCTCTTAATGTCCTTATGTCATGAGAAAGCAAACACATATTGCTCACAAAACTGACATACAAACCTTTAAAACTAACATGTTTTCCTCCCCCGATTGCGAATCTTTGCCCTCGTATTGATTTAGCTGAAAAGTCATAAATTACACCGGGACAATTTTAGGGTTGAAATTATGCACAGAAAATTATGAAAGCGAAATCTGGCAATGTACAGCACCATATGACATATGGTCATATGGAAGTCAGTCCTGATAATGCTAGCATTAAAGTATTCAGGCGAAAAAAGAAAACAGTATCAAAAGCCCAGGGAAGGTTGATGAAATGCTGGGTGCTTGAAAGGGATGGAGAGAAGCAAGTCTAACAGAAAACATATGATGAAAAAGAGTAATGACAATGAGAGGGCAGAGGTCAAACTATAATCCTAGACTCAAGGCATATATCTTTGGTGTGTTGAACTTCGACCTCTTTCAGGTTTAAACACATCGAAGTGACTGTGTGTGTGTGTGTGTGTGTGTCCATTGCATGTGTTTAAGATGTAAAGGCTGACAAATATAGCAATGCTGTAACAGACAGGACACTGTAAAAAAAAAATGTTGTTGGTTTAACTTAAAAAAATGAAGTAAGCTGGTTGCCTTAAAATTTTAAGTTCATTGAAATGGAAAAATTGAGAGATTAATTTAATCACCAGAAACTCAACATATTATGTTATCTGAACTGCATAAATTATCTAAGTTGATTTGACAAAAGAAAAAATGTTGTGATTACAAATCATGAAAATATTTTTTTAACAGTGTGGTCTTGAATGTTTAATTTTTAATGGAACTTAAAATGCATTATTCAGAGCAGAATAGTTCCCTTAAATATGATGATTTGTTGACCAGAGACAAGAGTGTTTATATGACTAACACACACACACACACACACACACACACACACATATATATATATATATATATATATATATATATATACTGTATATATATATTTGCATTAATCAAATATATTTACTGTAGACTGTATAAGGAAAATATTATGTATATAATAACAACAATATCTTCTTGTGCGGCCACATTTACAATGGCTCTGTGAAATTTCACGGTCAGAATCCAGACATTCTTTTGAGAATGTGATAATATTGGACAGAAAAAACACCCTTTTATTTCAGGTTTAAACATCTAAGAGTTTGCCAACTCTAGTTTCGCCGAGCAAATAACACATCCCGCAGAAGTCACTTTCAAACCAAGCAGCTTTCTGTGCTGGCCTGCAAGGTGAATTTGCGTGACTAACTTGAATATGAGCAACATTTGCATGGGGAAATTTGACCTATTGTGTGTTTTTGACCTTTTTCTCCTGAACACACAGAACCCTATAGAAATGTCTTTCGCAAAGCAGCAATAAATGTAACTTTAATGTGGATGTAAAAATGTTAAATTTACAGTATATGCAAAGTAATTTCTTTTAAAGCTAGGGTTGTCAATAAAATAATTAAGGATAATAAACAATGTGTTTAAATTCATCAAACATATTTAATTGAAGGAATAGTCATAAAGGGATAGGGACGATTATACCATGATTTACTCACGCTCAAGCCATACAAGGTGTATATTGTTGGGAGGATTTTGTTTTCTTCACTCAAATTTTGTACAGACATGCCCTTGCTCTCACTTTCAGTTTGAAAAAACAACAACAACAACAACAACAACAACAACAAAAAATAGAAAACACATTTGTCGACTTGTAAATGACAGGGACTTCTTCACACTGTAAAAAAAAAAAAAAAAGTTGAGAAAAATTTGGTTTTCTCAACTTAGGGTCATTAGTTGTACAAATGTTTTCATGTTAAATAGTTGAATAAACTTTAAAAACAGAATTTGTCAAACAAAATGTAAGTTGGATTTTTTACAGCGGGCTCAGTCAGAACACAGAGCTTCATCCTCCATGTTGTGTACGCTTCCAGTGCTGTTCCAGTGCGCTTCCAGTGTATTCCTCTCAAACATTACAGCACTTTAAATAATATTTCATGTCACTCAAAGGAAATAACATGCTGTCATGTCAAGCACAAAAGCATAACAGTTCAAATCTGTCAACAGGGAAGGCAACATGAGGCAGGAAGCTACTGCGATCATAAAGGAATTCTGACATTTTAGCACTCATTCCTTTTAGACCATGTACCTAAACTGGAATATTTTATATTTTAAACACATTTGAGAGGGTTAAACAGCATTTTGGACAGGCAGTGGGTGAGTGCCCTTCACAAGCAGAGCTCTACAACATGCAACTAATTAAACCATAAAGATAGATGATGTAATGTTTAAAGAGTCAGACAGAGGAAAATGTGGGTTCAGTTCCCGTTCACGGCTCTGTGTGGGTGTGTAAGAGAGAATGAGAATGGTATTCCCAAAGAGTAATATTGAACTGACATCAGCAAGTATCATTATGTGGAATCCTTATATCTCAGTGATACTAAAGTACTAAAACTGGTGTGTAGAGGGGGCAATAGTTTTAAACTGGGCATTGCAGCAACAAAGCCGTTTAAATGGAGACTATCAAGTTGAGTTCCCATGAAATCAGGGTCCCCCCAGAGATCAATGCACTGTAAACGGCTTCTCAGCTGGCTGCCAAGCGGCCCAATGACTGCTCACAGGAAGCCTCTACAAAAAGAGACTGGCAGCTCAATAGCGTGCCTATACAGGACCAGCGGACTTCTAACCAAACTCACACTCATTCACGGACGGGCTTCAAACATTAGGCACAGAATAAGAGGAAAGATCTAAACATTTTGAATAATTTTGCATTTTGTGGAATCCTGAAAAACAAAAGCTCAAGTCAAGTAAAGCATCAAACTTCAGTAACAGGGGTTTTCAAATTTAATTTTGCCAATCCTCATCTCAGCTGCTTTTCTGGGATCTATACAAAAAAAGGTTGAGAAAAAAAATCAGCGTTAATTTTTTCTTTTATATTGATATTAATTAAGCTGACAATGTCTGTCAGTGTACGCTTCACTTTGCAGTCAGACTTGTTTTATTTTCTCACTGTTATAGGGTCGTCAATAAAAAAAACACAATATGGTAATATAACAGTAGCTTATATTGTCAGATTAATGTAAAAACGATAATATATAATTGTTTTGATTTAGGTTCAGTGTTGTTGGATATAAATACCAATTATTTAATTTTGCAAATGACGTGTCTTTAACATCATGCAAACATGAACATAACATTATACTTTCTAACCGTATAATGTCTGTGTATGAAAAAGGACAAATATAATCATATTTAAAGTCACTGGCCTCAAAAAAAGTTCAAAAACCTCTGAAAAAATATGATTAATTAAAATCCAAGGTAGTATAGAACTTTCAAAGGCATCTGGACATCTCATGATCTAACTCAGCAAGAATGTCCATAAACCCATTTTGATATGCGCCCACGTGTTTAAACAGTTAAGAACATTAAAACTGGATTAAATTATGTTATCTCCAAATTAATTGAATGTGACCGTGCATACCACGGTGTGTAGGCCTAGACCTTAATCATGTTACCAACAACCAAGATAAAGTGAAATTGTGCAACAGCATTGTGTTTTTCACCTCACGGAGCAGGAGGTGGAGCTCTTGGAGAGATTCCTCTTCATTAAGTTTTTCAGCAGGACTGATGCAGCACATCAGCAGTGTTCGCCTCCACCTCAAACAGCTCTCCACTTACAGAAGTTACACATCGCATGCAAAACTCACGTCACTGAATGCAACTTTGGATAAGGGAACCGTGCGTGTTTAAGCTACTTGGGAGATTGAGCAAGATTTGAAGTGCACTGGTCTTGTGGAGTAGCCTACATAGAAACACTCCAGCATTAGGATGAGAGCGATAAACTTGGACACGTACAGCCTGTCTCTGCTGACCGCTAAAGAAGACATCCTCAACCCGCGAGCATCTACCAACTGGTAATACAATAAACATCACTTACTCGTTGTGGCTCAAATCTAAGCGAGCTGCATGTCTAGACTGCATTTTTTGGGCGTCAAAAAACGCCAGAAGCAGTTTTATCATAAGCAAAAATCTAAATGTTGTCTAGCTAGGCAGCTGATTTTGAGACACAACGACGTGCACTGGTGCTTTGGAATTAATATTGCGCAGTTGCTTTTGAATGTTTTCAGAATTTGTTATGTTTAGCGTACGTTTAGAATAGTGTACGTTTGAATGCACTTAGTCTAACGTTAAGTTTACTGTGCAAAGAAAGTTGAAACATGTTCAACACCGAAAAAAAAAGAAAAAAAAAAGAATGGAGGTACTTGTTTACAGAGTACTTTTTGTGACAAGCTAAATCTACCAGGCCATTTCCCTCAAGCCTATCCCATTGCTGAAGATTTAGGTCACTGAAGGTGTTTTTGTTTTTTGTTTTTTTGCACAAATTTGAACAGAAAGTTAAGCGCAAACACGCTGGTTTTGTTGCTCTGGAAGTGCTATGATACTTCTCATTGCTTTTTCTTCCTCTTAGTGTTCTCATACTAATGTTTACCTTTATGCATATCAGCTCAGTTGTGATATAGGCTTATTGCTGCAAGGCAAGCACAAATTATTAAGTTAGAAAAAACCCCAACTCTTTAAACTATGACCTTACAAAATTTTAACATTTGTATTTGACATGTTGTTAAGACCAATGAATGCATAATTTACATCAGTTGTATCATGTAATAAAGCTGCATTGTTTTCACTGTTATAGCGCCACCCTCTGTACAAACGAGATGAAAGTTTGCATGCTTTTGAAATAGTATTGCAATTCTCATTGGATGTTGGTCAAAACAATTTCAGTTCACATCAACATATCAGTCATAGTTTGTCATTTTTATAGAACCACCAACTGGCCCAGCACAACCAAGTTTCTACATACTAAAGTTCATTGAAGATACATATTTGGTTAGAAATAGTGCTGCAGTAATGACGTATTTTTGTAGGCCAACCCAGATGTTAGCATTACCCTCGGCCTCGACACAAACCCAATAGGATTTTTCCATTTGATTTTGATTTATTCTGGAAAATAAGCTCTGTGACTTCACAAATGAAAGTTTTTTCATCATGATAATCTTCACAAATGAACACAACTTTTATGAATAATTGGCAGAAGTAAAAAGTTAAGTGTAAATGAACTACAATACAGTCGCATGACTTAAATTTCACCATCACTAATGATACGACGTCTATATTTAAAACGAATTTCCTTGAAAGTTATAATTGTTTGCAAGGGTGTGATTTCAAACACAGTGAGGTTGTGAAAGCGGACTATAGTGAGAAGATGAGTTTGCCTGTTCGGCTGATAACATTTAATGTTCAACTTCCTTTTTCAAGAAAAGTAAAAGCTTTAAAAACTCACAGGGTACTGTATTTTATGTTGTAGAGTGTGGAAATATTTTAAACTTGTTCACAAACCTTATTTCAGGCATTTTACCAAAAACCCGTTCAAAAATCCTATTGATTTAAAGACAATGAAACCTAAAGTGCTAAAATGCTAACTTATTTCTGGATTTCAGCCTACGATGTCATTCCAGCAGGCTGTTTTAGTATAAAGGCCCTTGTTCACTGACTCCGAAGTTTTCGTTGGCGTTTTTTCTTATTTGTGATGTGGTGGCTATAAATTGTCAAAACACAATTCAAACTACTTGCTACAGATGCGCAAAATGCAGAAAATCGAAACGGATCCGTTTTTTTTTTTTTAATTTGAATTTTTTTATGATGGACCAAAGTTTCGGAGGCCAGTGTGCAAGCGTGATTGACATAACGTGAGGTCATATTTATTTTTTAACGTGCAAAAATTTCCGACTCAAATTTCGGACTCTGTGTGCAAGTGCCTTAATGGGCCATGCCTAGGGAAATGATTAATCGATGCGAAACGATTAATCGCATCCAAAATAAAAGTTTATGTTTACATAATATATGTGTATGGTGTATAATTATTTTGAATAATAGGCCTAAATACACACACATGCATATGTATTTAAGAAATATTTGCATGTATATACTGTGACTTAATGTATATTTTATATAAATATAAACATTTTATATATAAATAACACATTTTTCTATGTGTGTGCATTTATATATACAAAATAATTATACACAGTACACAAACATATATTATGTAAACACAAACCTTTATTTTGGATGCGATTAATCACGATCAGTCGTTTCACAGCCCTAGCCGTGCCCTACATTTTTCATTTGTGTTGCCTAGAATTCAAAGTTTAACATATTATTTATGATGATTATATTGACACTCAAGAATCCAACATTTGGTACAGCCAAAATACAAGGACTGACTGTCAAAAAAACCTAGTTTGCAAAAGTATCTTTTGTTGTTGTTCAAAAATCTATGGAAGAGGATTAGGCCCAAGCAATATTAGAAAATAAAACCATCTCAAGATTAAAGTCATTATAATGCAAGATTAAACTTTTGAAAGTTTTTTGAAATACACAACAATAAAATTTCAAGAAAATTTGACTTTTTTTTCATTTTAAAATAGCCTACTCTTTAAAGTTTGTATGCTAATTATTATTCAGTTATAATTTGCAATAATATGTTACTTTGTTATTGAAAGAAAGACTAAAATATAGCTTGAACAAGTGATCCAACTCTGTCATGCCTTCTATTAACATGACACTGACTGATCAAATGTGTTTATTCTCAAAAGTCGAAATGAGTTTATTCCTAGACAGTTTATATTTATAACGACTTTATTCTCAAATTTGAATGAGTTGACTCACTAAATGAAGTTTTTCCCCAGAAAACTGCAAGTTTAATCTTGCATTATAATAACTTTAATCTCGAGATGGTTTTATTTTTTATTAGTGCTTGTCACTCTTTCTCTTCCATAGAAATCCAGTGTGGTGGAAAAATTTCCTTGGCAGAAATAAATGGTGGTATATTTTTTTTCTTCATTTTTTGCTCTGTAGCTCTTCCTGTAGTGTTCTAAATGTCTTGTTTCTACTATTTAAGGGTTATTCTGTGTATTTAATTTCCAGGCAGAAAATGTATAATATTAATCCTAATGAAAACAATAGGGTTCCCAGCAGTTCATTTTAGGACCTCCAAAATAAAATAAAAAAAACCTAGATGTGGTATTCTAGAAAATTTGTATTTATTGACCTATAAAATTATTCAAAGGTTTTTTTCTGGTTCGTCATTATGTGCATGCGTGTGTCTGTGTGTGTTTACCGTTTTGGTTGAATGATGTAAGAACCAAACCAGCCCCTTTTATTTGTGACTTTCTATGATGTCATGCAGTTATTTTCTGCCTCAACTTCAGGCCTCTGCAGAGATTAGTAGTTTTCAGGGTGGTTTGCACCCACATGATTAGAGACACTTTTAAAAAACTGAATACATATGCGCTCATTCATTTACAGAACAAGTTAATAGCATGTTCCCATTTGCCCCTCTCTGATGTCATAATCTTTTGGCTTCTAAACAACACATTGCAAAGGTGACCGTAATTACATATATTTCAATATAACCTACAGTACATGTACCAGGTTCCTTGGATATACATTTGTTCAAACTTGATCAATTCCTTATCTGGCAGGCAGTTCAAAAGTCCTGCCCTGTCTTTCCTCCGTGTCAGATCTTGGCAACGTTTGTTATATCACCAGTGTCATTGTCTCTCCTATATTTCGGCAGGCTCAGGCTAATTCCTGCAAATGCCCCGGCAGTGGCTGCCTAAATTATCCAGGCAGCACCCATTCTGTTTTTCCACATGCTTAATCACCGTGGAAACGTGCTCAGAAACAGTCACTGATGCTTCAGGCTTTACAAGCCTATCAGGCCCATTCATGAACTGCCTGGTTCTGTCTGCTGACAGCCCAAGAGTATGGAGAGGGTTTGTCGACTTTGTATTTCACACGTCACTTTGACATGTCAAGAAACTTGAGTAAGAAAAAAAAGGCCCATAAGAAAATGCTAAACATTAGCAGAGAAACAAGTCCTGTGAATTTTTTAGCAAAATGGGAAATGTGCACTTCTCTACCACAGTTATCTCATATCTATGTACTTTTGTGCTCTGAACAATTGCCATAATTGACTTATTGAGCTGTTCAGATGCACTTTGAGCTCACTAGAATGAGGAATAGCTTCTGTCATCGGCAGTTTTTACTTTATCCAATCCAATCCACTTTATTTATATAGCACAATTTAAACAAACACAATGTTTCCAAAGTGCTGTACACCACAACAATATGATAAAAATAATGTTTTTTTTTTTTTTTTTTTACTTTATTTCGATAGTCCACTTTAGACATTCTACTACACTATAAGTAACTTTTCAACTACATGTCAACTAACTGTCATTAGAGTGTTAGTAGACTGTCAGCTTAATATCTGCTAACACTTTATTTTGTTGGTCCCCCAACAGATCAAAAATGTAATTTACAATTAAATCAAAATGGGAGTTTTGGGGTTTAGGGATTGTTAGTTCATATACTTTCTAAGTATATTGGTCAAAAGTGACAGTAAAGACAAATAATTCTGCAAAAGATTTTTATTTTAAAAAAAATGCGGTTCCTTTGAACTCTCTATTCGTCAAAGAATTCAGCTTTACCATCACAGGAATACATTACATATTAAAAACAGTTATTTGGATTTGTAATAATATTTTTTTCTTTTTTAACTGTATTTTTAAATCAAGTAAATGTTAAAAGTTTAATCAAGTAAAATTGATGAGCATAAAATACTCTCAAAAATACATTAAAAATAAGAATAAAAATAATCTTACTGGTTCCAAACTTTTGAACTGTAGAGTATATCCTGACTTCCTGTTTCAATAAGAATATTTTCATAACAGGAAAAAAAAAAATTGGGTCCACTGTTCTTTTGGACACCATTGAATTTAATTGTGTGAGTCAAAATCATCTTCTTTTGTTTTCTGCAAAAGGAAATGAGGAAAATGTATTGCATAAA